ATGGGCTGGGAGAGCCATTGAAGTTCTTGAGATTTAGATCCCTAAAACTTCAGTTCTTATGTCCAAACGGTAACAAAAACTAGGAAACCAAACTTTGCAGAAAGCCCCAATTGAAGAGAACGAATTACAAGATATGAACAAGACAAAAGAAGGAGAGGATCTTGGGAAATCGAATCCATCAATCTCGCCCCCTCAATCCATCTCCGCCTTCCTTAGACACCATCCATCATCTCATCAGCTAGTGATAGAGCAATAATTACACATGTTTTTGCCCCTATTCTTGAGGCGTTTGAGATGTTGATTCTCGTGTTTTAGGCCGATTTCACGCTAGGTTGTGCTTGTTTGTGATATTTCAGGTCCTAGTACGTGAATGAAGGTTTGGGAACGAGTTCAGGGTCGATTGGATAAAGTTTGGACGTTTGGCGAGAAGCTGGGAAGCAACACGGGCACCATTGCACCTCACACGGCCGTGTAGGGGCCCCTTGTGGCCGTGTGAAGGCTCGGTAAAAGCCACACGGGCAGCTTGGGGGTCCACACGACTGTGTGGCCTCTGCCCGTGCAGCTTGCCTGGTTGACCACTAATCGAAACGCCACGTTTGGACACTCACACGGGCAGTTGGGAAAGTCACACGGCCGTGTGGCCTGGCCGTGTGAGTCGGGAATTTCTGGTTTTAAGCCAATTTCGAGCAAAAGGAGAGAGAGAGCTGGGTTTTGGATCCCAAACACCCAAGAAATGAACCAAAGAGAGAGAGGGTGATTTGAGGGTATTCTAAGAGTGGAATTGGAATTGGAGGATTTCTTCGCCTTGGAAGCTCGAGGAACAAGCTCGGACTGGAAGACTGATCATCTGAAGATTCTTACTGCAGTCTCTCTCTTCTCTATGGAGTAACTTCCCTTCACTTAGGTTTTGAGGAACCCTAGCTATGTTTGTTTGATTGGATGATTGTATGAGTACTCTGACTTGATAATCTTGAGTTCATATTCAATCTATGCATGTTTTCAAGATTCAATTCTGCTTTAGTCGAGATTATTGATTCTGCTTTGATCATATGAGAGCGAATACCTGATTAGGTCAATAGAGCACCATAGATTGATAGTAGTGGACCGATTGCTTTAGTCGAGGGTTGATTCACTGCTTTGTATCGATTGAGAACCTCATTCGATAGAGGGGATCTAGTTCAGAACGCCTTGATCGGTTTTTCTAGAGAAGGATACGTCCCTCTAGGCAATTGACTCAAGAGGGCCTTGTTCCTTTAGTCGAGACTCAAGGTCTAGTTAAGGATTCTCTGAATTGTGAATGAAAGTGAAACACGTTAGAGATCATCAATCATTAATCTGGCTAGTTGCTAGGGGGAATCAAACCTAAGTGAGTTCCCAACCTGTAATTAGATTAACCTTAACTGTAGTTTGTTAGAGTAGTTTTAGTTCTTTCATCTTAATCTGGTTTGCTAGATAATGAACTGGAGCTGAGTAATAGTAACTCTAGAGACCCGTGGATTCGATATTTATTACTTGAGCCATTATATTGCAGTCCCTTTCATTGGTTACACTTGGCTTTTGTTAGGAGTTGTGTCATAGCGAGTCAGCTAGGGAAAATCGAACCCCATAGTCGCCGACCTCCCCATGGCTGCCGGTGCAACGAAAAGGGGACAACCCAGCAAGGGACATAGCTGGTCACTTGGACAAGTTGGGGACCAAGCCCCGTACCACGTCGACATCGATGTGGATCTTCAAGAAGAAGTCTAACCCGCCGCCTTCTCTAGTCAAGCAAGATTTGGGAGAATCGCCGCTTTGCCCCGACAATTTCAGACTCGGCGACCGAAAGAAACTCCATGGACAGTCGGCGCCTGAATCCAAGGGAGGTCAAAGGAATGGATGGCTACGAGAAGTGGATCTTCGTTCTGTCTTGGCAACGGGTAGGGAATTTCCGGAGAGGGAGTCGACCAGGTGGATTATTTTTTTTTTGGTTAGAATAGAGGGAGAGGATAAGGTTTTACCATTTCCTATTTTTCTTGATTTTAAAAACAAACAATTTTGTAGTGAAAATAATATAAATATGCTCGGGGCATGTTGGTCATTTTGAGTCATAGCCTGATATGATCCTAAATGGCCAACTTTACACGTTTTCATTGCTTGCCAAAGAAGCTATCAAGGTTGGAAAGAAAAGAGGCAGAATTTGGTTAAGTGTTGGAACAGTTTCAGGTAGCTTACTTTGGAGGCTTGGTTCTCACAATTGGCTCATTGAAAATTGGAGATTAAGAGCTTGTTTTGAATAAAAAGTTTCTCTCTACAAGGTGGCATAGTTTTTGGATCTAGAAGAAGTCATTAAGGTTGTTTTCCGAAGTCTCAAAGTTGCTAACTCAAAACAGGAAAACTGCCAGAAAATGGTTGTAAGTCTGGAAACGTGTCTGTTAAGCCTACTTTGGAGCTCAATTCGAGGAGCATGGATGAGAGTTGAGTCTGGAATCTTCTACCATATGAAAATAGGTATGTTTTTGTACAAAGGCAAGGGATTGGATGAGGAATTGGAGATCTGGAAGGCTTTGAACAAAAGGCTCAAAGTTAGTACGAAATCACAAAATTCTGCCTTGTAAAAAACATAATTTTGCTTTCTTTATTCAACTAGGATTACATTTAATTGGTAGTTTTTTATTCCTTTTCGTATTAGAATGTAATTAGGCATTTATTGGATGTGTGTAACCCTAGCTAGGCCTATTTAAACGTCTTGTTTTGTTGTAAAACTTAGACTTTGATTAATTGAAAAGAAACCTTTAGGTTTTGTGCAAGTTGCAGGCATCTACCTTTATATCATTCGAGCCTTCTTCCACATGAAAGATTGCACTTTTGATTCTGTTTTATCCAATTTCGTATTAAGAATACGTTGTTCTTGATTCGAGTTCAATCAATCTTCGGATTGATTGTTTGATGCATAGTTCTAATAAAAAGCACCCCACTGGTGCTTTATCATAGCCACATCAGCAAATGAACATCCAGCTCAATTAAAATTTTCCACGTCAGAATCAACTAACGGTCAAACGGACGGAAAGTTGACGATTTGGCTATTAAATTATTTTCGAAAAAGTTTGGCTATTATATTGTTTAAAATGTTCGGGCTCATTTGCTTGTTGGATTTGAAAATGAGGATTTTGGGGTTTAAAAATCTTTGGATTTATGATGGATTTGTTGCATTATGGATTTGGAAAAGTATATTATTTGTTTAGTGCATTTTTATCATGGATTTGTCTCACAACTATGCCTTCTATTACCAAATCCCACATGAAATGTGGGAGTTGCAAATCCCGAGGGTACAAGGATTTGGATCCAAAAATATGGTTCAAATCCATGAGCCCCACGGATTTGTATCGCTTAGCAAACAATGAATTTGTGCCAAGTATTTGATGCTTGGAATTTAGGTGTCAAATCCATTACTCAAATCCCACAAGCAAATGATACAGAAAGTTTGGCTATTAATAGTATTTACCTTAGCTCAGAGTTTCTCGCGGACCTAGTAAACGGGCCTGTTAAATGAAAGCCCAGCAGCTTAATCGGCCAATACCACTGTGCCGCCATAAAAAGTGTGGCACTGATAACACACTTTCTAATTGGGTGACGTGGAACTGATGTGGCACTGGTTCAGTTTAATACATTGGTCCAAATTCGATGGCCCGAACCCATCATCCATCCAATCAAACGGTCCTTTCTTCCGTCTTCTCTTCTGTGTTATTCTTTTTTTTTTCCAGTAATTCGTTTTTCATTTGAATTTTCTCCTAAATAGTTTCACCTAAAACAACACAAATGAAACCCCCGACCAAGCACCATCTTCCTCCGTCTCGCACTCCGCGACTTCTCCATCCCTAATACGATCTCCAATCTCTTCCGTCATCCTCCAGTGAATTCTCTCATTGTCTTCCGCACTTTGCTGAGATATTAGGGCCTATTTTGTGCTCATACGAGTAAGCAAAGGGGAAGAACCACTTACAACTCTTTTGACAATGGGTTAGATGAAGGTAGGGCGTTGCCGGTGGCGGCAACCATGCCTTGAATTGAATGGTTGGCAGCGGTTGTAGGTAATTTTCTTCTCAATTTGATCAGTTTTTTCTGTAGGCAGAGGGTGGGCACGTATCTTTAGGATCGTTTCATATTTTCACTTTATTTATCTGCTCTGTTCCTGGAGAAATTTCTGGTGCGCAGCTGAAGAGAGGAATGGAGGGAGGATTCGAAATCCAAAACTTTCTATGTGATTTTTCAGTATAGTGATGGTTTGGTCCATCTAGCTCCCTTGTGTGTTAGAAAGTAGAGAAATCCTTATCAGAAAGATTGAAGTAGTTCTTTTTAGGTAAGGATTATAGCATATTGCCTTCTTCTAGTCACAACCTGGACACTATAAGTGCAATTCACTCTCTGGCAATCTCAGATTTGTTTTATGTAACAGGTCATTTGCTCCCTTTGTGACACATAACAAGATGTACGTTCCATGTACCTTTTTGTTGGAGCAGTGGTAAATTTTAAATATATGCATGCATAATTGCATATCTAGTTTCTTGACTTCTCGTTAGAGGTAATAGGTTCAACAACACATCATCAAATGTGGAGTTTGCATAGCGAAGTACTTTTGCTCCGAATGCAAGTTCTTTGATGATGATGTAAAGCCTACTCGGTCCTTGAAAATACTCTTCACATTTTGTTTTAGCCTTGTTTGTAACTCATTAGTGCAACTTGATCATTTTCCTGCAGGTCTCAAAGCGGCAATTAATGTGGCATATGCAGGTTACTGCTTATACCACTACCAGTTATTGCCTTTCATGGTGAAAATGTTAGTTTTCATTTTCTTTACTCATGGTGTGCTTGTTTGTAATTTTTATGCTGCAAAACTGGACAGGAGGAGAACTTTTTCCATTGAAAAATGCGGTAAGATTCTTGAAGTGAAGGAAATATAGGAATTGAACATATGAGATTATGATTTTTTTATTGGTCACATGTTTTGTTTTGCATGTTTAAGATGATGCTATTCAATGTTATTGAAGGATTCAATGGCATTAAGGTTCGACATTTGCGTGTGTACTTGCTGGGAGCGGATAGTATAACAACACCCCTTGTGTTGTTACCATAACAACAAACTTCATTAAGGGTATAAGAGTAAAATTAACCAAAAATTAAAAACTAAAAATGAAATAAAATAATTTTCACGGCGCACATTCGCTCTTCCTCTTCAACAACAATTGCTATGGGATATTTATATTCCACCCTCTCCGTCTCTGGCAACGTCCTCTTCCTCACCGACGAACTCTCTCCAGTTCTTCTCTTTCATCGGAATAATGGTAGAAAAAAATTCCAATTTTCTTCGATTGTTTCTTCTCCTGTCACCATTCTTCCTCGACACAAGAGACGACAGCGGACTCTGGAAGAAATCGGGTCTATCGGCGAGGAAATCGACACGGGATGGACTGGAGAAATCCGACTCCCAAATTTCTCTTCCGCTCGTCTTGTCTTGAAGCTTCACCGCTCTCTCCCTCCAAGAGCTGTGGAACATCGTGGCGCCGACTGTGGACGACTTCATCGAGGCTCTCATGCTGCCCCGTTGCAACTCGTTCTCTCCAATTCTACGTGTCCTGCAACTCTGCCGCTCTTCCCCCCTTCCTAGAGATTCGCGGCTGTGGCGGCACCAGCTACGACGAGTTCTTCAGGGGAAAATTATTCCGAAGGCTGTCCATGGACTAAGAATCTAAGATGCTTCGATTGCTTTTCTTTCTCTCCCTCGTTTCTCTACAGTAGACATAATGGCAAGCAATGGAATTACAATTCCATGAGTGGCCAATGGGATGTTGCCAGGAGCTAATTAATTGCCAAATACCCCCGTTGATTCATGTCTCGCCATTATGGATGGCCTACCAACGTGAAGAGGGACAAGATTCCTATATCTAAAGACGACCAGGAAGGAGTAACCATATTTGCGTAGCAGCCCAGGATGTTGGACTCGTTCGAGTCCTGGAGCGAAATTAGAAGTCTCGTAAGCGTTAGCGGAATTGTTAAAAGCTTATTTTTTCGACAACGAGTGGGAAACTCTCTTCTATATTGATCAGGGTTGAGAATGGTTTGATCAGTTAAATCGTTACTTAGCTCAAACCTTGAGGACAAGGTTTTTTAAAGGGTCGGGGGAGGATTGTTACGTGATTTCCTTCTTTCCTACCATTATTATCACCATCACTAATAGAGTATGTATGTGTTTGTTGCAGAAAAAACATACTGTAAACCTCCTAATGCAATAAAACAACCCACGAAAAACATATCGGAAACCTCCTAATGCAAACCACAAATTCGCTAAAACATATCAGAAACCCCACAAAGCAAACCATAAATATTTTGAAAAGCACACCAGAAACCCCCTAATGCAAACCACAAACACGGTAAAACAAACCAAAAATGTCCTAATGCAGACCACAAATATATTAAAACAAACCAGAAATTTCGCAAAGCAAACCACAAAAGTTTCGAAAGCACACCAGAAACTTCTTAATGCAAACCAGAAATCTGCTAATGCATACCACAAATCTCCTAAAACAAACCACAAACCTCAAAAAGCAAACCACAACATTTGCGAAAGCACACCAGAAAACCTCCTAATGCAAATCACAAACACAGTAAATCAAACCACAAAAAAGCAAACCATAAACGTCCTAATGCAGACCACTAATATATTAAAACAAACCAGAAACCCCTCAATGCAAACCACAAAGTATTTGAAAGCAAACCAGAAACTTCTCAATGCAAACCACAAACACGATAAAGCAAACCACAAAAGGCATAAAAAAATATGAGAAACCAAACAATAAATCTCACAATGCAGACCATACATCCGGTGGTCGTTGACCGTTGACCAAACTCCGATGACCGTCAGTGACTGGATTCCGGCGCCGATAAGCATATTCCGGCCCCGGTGACTAGATTCCGATGCTGGTAAGCATATTCCGACGCCGGTAAGCATATTCCGGCGCCGATGAGCATATTCCGATGACAAAATAGCATATTCCGGCGACAAAAAAACATATTCCGGTGACCTGCGACCAGATTCCGGCGACCGGTGGCAGAATTCCGGCGACCAAATTTTTGGGCAGCAAATAAAAAAATATTTTTTTATTTTTTATTATTATTTAAATATATTTATCATAATGACAATTATACCCCCGCTTTGATTTTACACTAGGTCAACTCATCTCATAAAAAGTCATCACAACCCTAGCTTCCTATTGGTTGGAGACTAGTGTTGTTACAATAACAACACAAGGGGTGTCATAGTAACCGGTCCCGTACTTGCTGTATTGCTATCAAGCATTTTTGTTGTTGTTGAAAGATATCATTCTTATATGCCCCGTTTAGTACTCATTCTGTTTTTTGATTTCTGGAAAACAGAAAAGGGAATCCGAAGAAAAGGAATCTGTCATTTTCTGGAAAACAAAACCTGAAGAAAACTTGTTTAGCTGAGAATTTAGAGAGTTCTGAAACTGAAACCTGGATATGGAAACTTGTTCAGATACAGTTATTACAAACTTATTTTTGTTTTCAATAGCAATCTTGTTTTAAACAAATAAACAAAATACTACTACATCAACCAAACATTTTAAGAAGTACAACTACAATAACAAATACAAATATGGGGATCGCATGTGGGGCAAAAGGAGAAGGGATCGCATGTGGGCAAAAGGAAGAAGAAATCAACTCTGTTCAATTCTAGTCTGCCAATCCTATTTAATTTAATCAGCTATTTATTAATCTAATCAACTCTCTGTTCAAAAGTAAGCAGAGATTTCAAAAGATTGCTCACCAGGCGCAGGGGACATAAACTAGGACGAGGACAAGGAGACGAGAAGGGAGATAAACGTCGGGTTGACGGCGAGCGAGGAATGCCAGGTTGACGACGAGCGGGGAAGGCCGGGTCGACGGGGAGCGGGGGTTGAAGGCCGGGACAAGGCAGCGAGCGGAGATAAACTTCGGGTTGACGGCGAGCGAGGGTTGAGTGCAACGAGGGCTGACGCCGAGCAGGGGATGCCTCGGCGGGTCGACGATGATCAGGGGAGTCCGGGCTGACGGCGGCAGGGGAGTCCTCGGCGACAACGGAAGCAAGACAGGGGAGAGTGGAGGAGATGAGAGGCAGGGGAGAGTGGAGGAGAAGTGAGGCGGCGGGGATGAGAAGAAGGGGAAAGGGTTGGGTTTGGGATAATAGGGTTTGGGGGTCTTTGGGATGGTTTGTCTGTCAAATGGTAGATGGGGTAATAAATTGAATTTTGGTTGGTTGGGGGATTCGATCCATGGGTCTCATTAATGAGAAAGAAGAGAAACCCGTCCGTTTCCCATTCCTGAAACCAAAATAATGTGTTTCCCAAAAATTGCTACTATTCAGCACTATTTGGTTCCCCAAATAAAAGCTTATGGAATGGGAATGGAAAGTAAACACTTTTTTCTGTTTTCATTTCTAAATAAATTAAATGGAATGACAAAATGAGAATGGGAATGGTTACTAAACAGGGTATATAGGTTGCTAATTTGTGTACTTTAATTCAGTACCAAATGGTGTTCACTTGTAGTTTACTTTGCAGATGATGTCTAATTCAGATTTGATGAAACTGTCATATGATTACAGCATGAAAAGCATGAAGTCTGAGGAAGATGATACTGCAATCAAAGTATATACATCCTGAAATAGCTATATGACCATTTGAGAGTCAATGGATTCATCTCAATATGGGGTCGGTAGTGCTGTCACGAGAAGGGAAACCTACTTTTGACGTTGTATGCATAATGAGACTCATAGAAGATGAGTACTGTATGTTCTTATTGTAATTGTTCTAATTTTGTTGAATTTGCCTCGGATTTAGTTTCCATGATTCCAATAAGGAGAGTGTTGAGAGACGGGGACGACACAGGTGTAGGCGATTGCCTTTTTCTTTGCCTTCGGATGGTCTGATACGGTGGCGTAGAGCAATTTGATGAAGCCGACGTCCGGTCAGAACGAGGGAATATTCGTATTTGTTTTACATCATATAGAGACGAAACCCTTTATTGTTATCACAGTCCATCGGAGCAGGAGATGGAGGAAGACGACTCTGTTCGTTTTTCTGTTCTAATTAATTAATGGGAAAAGAAACATTGAACAGATAAACGGATCAAGAATCAAGATGGAAACAAAATTTTCCGTTAGTTTGGTCAATAGCAATTTCGGCTGATTCATGGGCTATCGAGTTGGCTTGGATTGAATAACGCAATCAACGCCACATCATTGCTCTCATGTACCATTCATGTGCCATACTTTTAACAACAGACAACAATACTTTTAACAACAGCACCGTAGTATTGGCATAATTGTAGAAAAATTGAAAAGGGACCTTTTCGTCAAATCGTATTCCAACTTTTGCAGAGTCAGCCGCCATCTCACGGAGCAGCTAAAGGATGAAAATGAAACCGAAGAGCCGCAAATGGAGAAAAAGCTGAAGACTCGAAGTTCCAAAGTCAGTCCTGTATGTAACGATCGGAGAAAGGCGGAGGATTAATTCTTGGTGAGTTCTTACCTGTCCTCTTCACTGTTCTCCGGTGTGGCACACTAGGGTTTTTCCTGTAGGTGCGGTCTTCAGCAGCTGTCCCTTATTAGTAAATTTCCCCCCCTTTCTCGGTCAAAATTGATTGGTCCTTGTTGAATCTGGTTGAAATTTCATTGATCTTTCATATACTCTGGCATTTCCATTCCTTTTTTATTTGCTTTTCCTGCCTTCCGTCTGCGAACTGATGATGAAAGTTGAGTGCTGCATGTTTTTCGTTTCAGAGGAAAATTCCCCAGTGATTAATTATTTCTGTTGCAAAAAGTTCTAACCTTGAAAAATACCCAGTTTTTGTTTGCAGTTTGTTGAATGTCAGCGTGATCGTTATCTTTGTGTGTTTACAGATATGTGAAAGGGAACCTTTTGCTGGCGTGGTTTAACTTTTGATTGAACACATGGAGTCCTGCAATTGTATTGAACCACAGTTGCCCCCTGATGAATTGCTGTCCAAGTATCAATACATTTCAGATTTTTTCATTGCTCTTGCTTATTTCTCCATCCCGTTGGAGCTCATCTACTTCGTAAAGAAATCCGCTGTGTTCCCATATAGATGGGTTCTTGTGCAGTTTGGTGCTTTTATAGTCCTCTGCGGGGCTACTCATCTTATTAACTTATGGACCTTCACCATTCACTCCAGAAATGTTGCCATTGTGATGACGACAGCAAAAATTTTGACTGCAGTAGTTTCTTGTGCTACTGCCCTCATGCTTGTGCACATTATTCCTGATCTTTTGAGTGTTAAAACTAGAGAATTGTTTCTCAAAAACAAGGCTGCAGAGTTGGATAGGGAAATGGGTCTTATCCGGACTCAGGAAGAGACAGGTAGGCATGTCCGGATGTTGACTCATGAAATCAGAAGCACTCTTGACCGACACACTATACTGAAGACCACTCTAGTTGAACTGGGTAGGACATTATCGTTGGAAGAATGTGCCTTATGGATGCCAACACGAACTGGGCTGGAGCTCCAGCTTGCCTACACTCTAAGGCAGCAGAATCCTGTTGGATATACTGTACCCATCCATCTACCTGTAATTAATCAAGTATTTAGTAGTAACCGGGCTGTGAAAATTTCTCCCAATTCGCCGGTGGCTAGACTAAGGCCTCTTGCTGGAAAGTACCCTGGAGAGGTGGTTGCTGTTCGGGTGCCACTCCTCCATCTCTCTAATTTTCAGATTAATGACTGGCCCGAGCTTTCAACCAAGCGCTATGCTTTGATGGTCTTAATGCTTCCCTCAGATAGCGCGAGGCAGTGGCATACCTATGAGTTGGAGCTTGTTGAAGTAGTTGCTGATCAGGTAATACCTCATTTCCTGAATGCTCGCTCTTCATCTTCTTGAATATTATTTTAAAAACCTAGGTTTGATGTCCTAGATATCATTCCATGCCAGCAATACATACAGAGATGCACTGGTTTGCCATTGCTGATTCTTGCTAGTAATGCTCATCATTTTCCTTCAGTTCATCAAGGTTTAAAAATAGCAGGATAATTAGAGTAAAATTGATGGATGATTGCATTTTTTTTAGTCTAACTTATTATTTGGCTATATCATCCAACTATAGGTGGCTGTTGCTTTGTCACATGCTGCTATCCTAGAGGAGTCAATGAGGGCAAGGGATCTACTTATGGAGCAGAATGTTGCCCTTGATCTTGCTAGGAGGGAAGCAGAAACAGCTATCCGTGCCCGCAATGATTTCTTGGCTGTGATGAACCATGAGATGAGAACTCCAATGCATGCTATTATAGCACTTTCCTCCTTGTTACAGGAAACCGAGCTGACACCAGAGCAGCGACTTATGGTTGAGACAATTTTGAAGAGTAGTAATCTTTTGGCTACTCTAATAAATGATGTGCTAGATCTATCGAGGCTTGAAGATGGAAGCCTTCAGCTTGACCTTGGAAGTTTTAATCTTGCTGCTGTTTTCAGAGAGGCAGGTTTACATACTACTTCTCTCAGTTATTCATATTTGCTTATAAACACCAGACTGACAATGTACTATAGCAAGTATTATCTGCTGCATGTGAGCTAAAGAGTAATGTTCTTGTTTTCTGTCACAGGTTATCAACTTGATTAGGCCAATTGCTTCGGTTAAGAAATTGCTGGTTACCTTGCATTTGGCTCCAGATCTACCTGAATATGCCATTGGCGATGAAAACCGCCTAATGCAAACTCTCCTTAATGTTGTTGGTAACGCAGTCAAGTTCTCAAAAGAAGGGAGTATCTCAATCACTGCTTTTGTTGCAAAGGCAGAGTCTTTAAGAGATCCTAGAGCTCCTGATTTCTTTCCAGTACCTAGTGATAATCACTTTTATTTGCGTGTACAGGTTGGGTACTTTCAACCTCAATACAAATCATTCTATGAGACTACTCTAGTTTCCGACTATGTTTTTGTTAACCTGCTGCTTATCCTGTTGCAGGTAAAAGATACTGGTTCGGGAATAAATCCTCAAGATTATCCTAAGCTGTTCACCAAATTTGCTCAAAGTCAGTCTTTGGCAACCAAAAATTCTGGTGGTAGTGGACTTGGCCTTGCAATTTGTAAGAGGTAGAGTGTTTCTTTTCAGTCGTACATAGCTTTTGCTTTAGTTTCCGGCAGTAAGCATTGTAACTAGACTTCTTTCTTTTATTTATGCACTATACGATGGACTCTGGTTGCCATCTTTATTGTCATTCTGTTGGGCATTTGGAAATGATCATGCATGCTTTTGAGGTGTTCACCCCTTCACTTGCTTTTGATCAGGTTTGTACATCTTATGGATGGACATATATGGCTGGAAAGTGAGGGCCTGGGTAAAGGCTGCACTGCAATCTTTATGGTCAAACTTGGGATTGCAGAGTGCTGTACCGAGTCTAAGCTTCCTGCTGCTACTAAAGCAGGAATGAACCATGCACGGACCGACTTTCCTGGACTCAAAGTTATAGTGATGGATGACAACGGGTAAGTGATACAAAAAGCTTGTATGGCCATCATCTTTGTTATATTTGAATATCATACATTGACCTATTCACGAGCTTGGTAGAGTGGAAGTAGGGCGTAGCGTTAGCTTAGATTTGTTTAATGACTATTTACAATTTGAGTTCCTAATTTAATATAAAAACGAAGAAAAATGCCTGGAGAAAAGGACATAGCTGAAATTCTCCTGGAACCTCTGTAACCTGAAGGAATTCCGGGGCTTGTTAGGACTCATATTCGCAGAAATCACGTGTGCTAATTGAATTCAATTTAGGCAAGCCTCATAGTACCATTGTGCACTAAATCCTAATTTCGGTCATACCTACTAATTCCACCAACTAGCTGGAGACGATACTTGCAAAAGACTGTTACGTTCACCACAGGCTTTCCAAGATGATTCAAAGTGAGGGTAGGTTGTGTAGGACACATGGCCCTTTCTATATTTTAAAGCTCCAATACAGTGATGGCTGACTCATAGAAAATCAAGTTTGCCCCTAAATATTTGAAGGCAGTATGTGAGGAATTATCTTGGGAAGACCTTGGGTTGGATTTATTCTTCTCGTGGATTATTTTGTACCATAATACCTGTTCTACAGCGTAAACTTACCACAAAATAGTTTGTCTCCACTACACCAACATCATATTTGTCATTTTGAGTAGGCGATATGTGATACTTTGAATGCATCATCTAACAAATGCTTAATTGATTACTTGATTTGCAATATGTGATACCAAAGAAACATCCTTCAACTCTGTTTTTATGTAATGTTCTTTTCCCAGCTTCATTTCACCTTTCGTTCATCGACCCTACAAATAACACTAGAATCTGTAAACTTGCAGTGTTAGCAGAATGGTAACTAAAGGACTTCTGGTGCACCTGGGATGCGATGTAACAGGTGTGAGTTCAGGTGATGAGTGCTTGCGGTTGATCTCTCAGGATCACCATGTGTTATTCATAGATGTATGTATGCATGATGGCTACGAAGTTGCTCGTCGTGTACACGAGAAGCTCACAAAGCGCCACGAGAGGCCTCTAACGGTGGCCCTGACTGCTAACTCGGATAAAGCGACCAAGGATCAGTGCCGGAGAGTTGGCATGAATGGGGTTGTGCTAAAACCCGTTTCTATTGATAAAATGAGGAGCGTTTTGTCTGACCTTCTGGAGCACCGGATTCTGCTCTGAAAAGGCCAGCCAGGTATGCCGTAAGGTGGAATGAGGGAACATTTGTGGCTGTTGTATTACTTTGTGTACTATTTTATTGCGAGAGTGTATATAACGTGTATTGAAGCGGAGCATCGCTTTGAAGCCATACATCGTAAGATGACCCAGAATTTCATTGATTGTAAACAAGTTGGATGGGGTGTGTCCCATCCCATGGTTTTCTTCCTTGGTCACTGAAGTGGCTGTCAAAAATGTGGAGAAAGTATATCATAAAAGCTGAATATGCTGTACTTGTGCTATTTCTCAAACTGTTGGGCATGTGTTACTGCGCCCTTCGCCTTTGGTTCATTATAAATTCATCTTACTTCTCCGTTTGTACGTACTCACTAATTTTGGTTCCGTGCCACCCGTTGGTCAGGTTATTTTTACAATTATTAACTATTCGGAATTACAATAAAATTATTTTTGAATTAGTTGATCATTTGAATTGATGTAATTTATTTGTAATTCTAAAATTTATGTTTGTCATAATATCCAATCTAAATTAATTTATATTTTAATTCAATACAAGTTTTAATAAAAAAATCGAAGTAACATATTAAAAATGTTTGATAATATGATAGTCTCAGTTTTATTATAATAATTAATATAATTGATGACATTTATATATTTAGTTTTGTACTTACCATCATCCAATAGAATTTGTCTTACTAGTTATAAATTTTACACTACAATAATCTAATCTTTGTAGGTTGTGTTTAAATCCTAGTAAGTTGTAACGCTTAGGGTTAATACCTTAAACTGGCATGAACTATGCTTAAATAGTCAACTTTGGCCCGTGTTTTAGAAATTGTTATCCTAGTCTCAACTATACACTTTATAGACTAGTTTGGTCAAACACGTGTTTTGACCATCAATTTGGATTATCAACGTTCCCGCTCATTGCCACGTCAGTCAAATAAATAAATAAAAATTAAAGTTTTAAATTATTTTCCATATATCGTTTTTCTAATACTAAAATAACAATAAAAAAGAATAATAACTAAACCAAAAAAATAAAGCCCGAACTGTGGATTTGAAGAGCTTGACGTGGGGGAGGTAGCCGGAGCGGAGCATGGAGTTGATGACGAAGACGGCATAAGGGAGTTGGCCGGACTTGGTGGCGGAGAGGGCGAGGAGGTCGAGGGAGTTGACGGTCATGGCGGAGGCGGGTGAGGATGGACTGAGCGCGTGCAAGGGAGAATGGAAGGAAAGAGTGAGAGGGAGAGCGAGGAGGAAGGAAGGGGTATGCTAAGTGGTGGACCCAAGAATTTTATATAGGGGTGTCTTCTTTTAAAAAATAAATTAAATAAAAATAAATTAAATAATTATTAAAAATTAAATAATTTTTATATAAGAAAATATCTGAATCGTACGAGTTGAAAAAAGTCCACGATGTCTTTTCATATATGAAAATAACTGTAAAAATACTTGGTGTCTGCACTGCTCAAAAAAATTGTCTTTGTATATCCTACTAGAATCATTCACGAATTGATCACATATTCGATTTTTACACTTTTTCTTGATGTAACCCAAAGCTGAAAAGACTCTTTCAACACTTGTCGTACAATAATGTTTAAAATAATTTGTTTAATTGTTAGGTTTTGAAAATAATTAGAGTTAGGGAATGACATTTTACTATTACACAATGTTTAAAATCATAACAAATAAGTTGTAGCCTAAAGAAAATTATTTTTATTAATAAGGGTTATAGGTATAATATGGCCCTCTACTATGTCGTTTTATCAAACATGCCCCTCTACTATTTTTTACATCAAACATGCCCCTATACTTTAGAAAAATGATCAAACATGCCCTTCTGTTAATATTTTCATCCAAAAACAGTCAATCACGATCGTACCTTGGTTTGGGCGACACAAATGTCTAAAATATCCCTAGTAATTTCACTTTAGAATTTTTGGGTTCTTTTGTAGAGCCAATTATCTCTAATAATTTCACTTTAACGAGACCAGAAAATTTTAAATGGGGACAAAACTGACATTTTCCCTCTCATTTGTCGATGTCGGGTCGTCTACATCTCGGTTCATGGTTGAAGATTTTTTTAATGGAAATTTTAACAGAATGACATGTTTGACAATTTTTCCAAAGTACAAGGGCATATTTGATGTAAAAAATCATAAAGGGGCATGTTTGATAAAATTACATAGTAGAAGGGCATATTATACCTATAACCCTATTAATAATAATAGTGTCCTGGGTTTGAATTACTCAAACTACAACTTATATTCCCATAAGCAAACTAAAAGATGAGATAGGATAATCATTTTTTCAAATTTCAGGGGTGTCCCCTACTATCAGTTATAATTTTTTTGTTACGTAATTTACCACTGGGGTTGGATAATCGTTTTTTCCAAAATTTAGGGGTGTCCCGAGACACCCTCAACCAAGCGTGCGTCCGCCCCTGGGTATCCTTATGGTTGCTGATGGCGGCGAAGACCGTGGTCGGAGTCCATACAGCTTTTTAAAAAAAAAAGTTTTATGGTTGTTATTTTATTATTAGAAAAATGAGATATGAAAAATGATTTTAAATTAGAATTTTTTATTTATTCGTGCTGACATGGCAGTGAGCTGGACGATTGACCATTAGTCTACGACATTGTCTATGTGGTGTATAGTTGAGACCAGGATAACAATTTCTCAAATCACGGGCCAAAGTTGACTATTTGGGCATAGTTTGGGCCAATTTAAGGTATTAACTCTAGCGCTTATTTATATGTTCATTTATTCTTTAGGCAATGTTGAGTCTAAAAATAAATAAAAGTGAAGTGGAAAATCAAGGCTTACGTGGAAGTTGAGAGAAGAGAAAATTTAAATTTGTCAAGTGTTTAATTGGAAAGTCCATATTATATTATCTAGATAGATACAGATTCGCTACTTTACAGCAACAGATATGTGGCTGGGATTGAAGACATGTGATGACGCTCTATTTATGGTGTTTATCACTTGCATATTTGATATATTTTCTCCTTCTATCAGTGCAACTTTACTCTCTTGTATTAGATACTTAAATCATAACTATTTGATCAATGGACAATTAATAAAATTAAGTTGTGTTTTTGTACTTTTTGATGCCTTCTTGGTATGTTTATTTTTTTTTATGGTTTTCAATGTATAAAACAATCTAGGAGGATCTGGACCAAGCATTGGATAGCTCTAGAGAACCAAAAGGGCTATAAAGAGAATAATATGAAGCTTTCATATTAAAGATGGAGAAGCCTACTAGTAACTACTAGGGCCCATGATGAGCCCAATAAAGGAAGACTTAGCCCAAAAAGAAGCAAGAACCACCGGTGGCCCAACATTGGCTCCCACCGTCGCCCAGCCACTACTGATAAGAGATCTTTAGGCCATGTTTCGGCCCCAAGTCAAAGAAACTGTACCCTATTAGGGTTAGAAAGGTTTTGGCCAAGTTCTACCACTATAAATAGGGAGCTACACTCAATAGTTCTATAAGCTTCACAATTACACTCACAACTTCTGTAGACACTATTCGAGTGATAACTTAACATTCGTAGGAGAGGGTGCAGTTAAGAAGATTCCTTCATCATTAATGGTGGTGCCCTCATTCTCTTCAATGTATAGTTAGCTTGACATCGATTGTATGAGAATGCAAAGTTGTTTATCTTTAAATGTATTAATGTTATGATTTCATATGATGCTTGCGTTTATGCTTATGAATTTCGATGCTTATGATGTATGCATGGATGTTTTAGTTTCGATGCTTATATGATGATCATTGTTATATATCTAGTATGAGTACTTGCATATCAGCGATGCTTATGACTCTATAGTATGATACTATATGCATAGTGCTAGTATCATCTAGATTGCTAAGAAATTACCCTCTAGTGATACCCCATTGATGCTACACGAGTATAGAGGGAATGTTCAATCATCTATATCTCGAGTAGTATCAATGCTTGATTGTTAGATCATCGATGCTATAGACCATCGATTATGGCTCAAGAGGCCCACACTTAATCATGTGTTATCCTCACTTCTCTGTTTTTCATTGGTTAGGTGATGACATGAAGCTAAAGCACGCATTAGCTAGTGAAGTTCCTATTGCATGTGGCAAAAGCTCGAGTACGATGTCCTTAGTGGAGCCGATATAGTGATACTATAGAGAGTCATTGATGCATGATATGAATGAGTACTGATATATGTGATTGTACTCTATTATCCTTTATTCTTCAATAACGTATCTTTACTTTTATGCATCTATATAACTTGAAAAAACCCTAAACAAATATACTCTTATTGCTTTGTTTTACTTTGATTGGTTTAATCAAATAAACCCTCCCCCCTCCTCCTAAAAGTCTTTATTGTTCTTGTTCGAGAACAGATGGTATGGAGTGAGTAGTTTTGCATTAGAAGACTTTGTGGAATACTGCACTAGGCATCCTAGGGCAATTATCACTTGCATGAATACTACCTTCAACATGTATAGAGGTAAGTTGCAAAAATTATTAATAAAAGAATTATTGAACCAAATGAATTAAACTCAATCTAACTATACTCAACCTACGCGAAGACTATACCTCACCCATTTACCTAGAGACAAACATATATCACTCGCTCATTTTTGCAGGAGAACGAAGTGATTCATCTCCCCTCGTCTCATGCTAAAAAGCTAACGCATGTGATGACACTATTTATAGTATTTATCACTCTCATATTTTATACATTCTCCCCTTATATCAATGCATCTTTAATACTTTCTCTTGTATTTCATATATAAATCATAACTAATTGATCAATGAGCCTTTAATAGACATGATGTGTTTTTGTACTCTTTGATGCCTTCTTGGTATGTGTTTTTTTTGTTTTCAAGGTACAACACGACCTAGGAGGATTTGGATGAAGCAATGGACAAATTTTAATGACCAAAAGGAGCTATAAAGAGAAGAATATGGAGCTTTTGTGATAAAGAAGAGGTCCAATGACAGAGAAGCCTACTAGTAATCACAAGTAGAGCCCAAGATCGTTACGCCATGCTTCTGCCCAAATTCAAATAACACTTTTCCTAGTAGGTTTATGAGGATTTTGGCCGAGCTGTAACACTATAAATAGAGGGCTAGACTCATTAATTCAGTATGTTGCACAAATACACTAAACTTCTGTAAACACTCTGCTCGGGTGAGAGCATAGCATTCATAGGAGAGGGTGCATCTAGAGAGATGCTTTCATCATTGATGGTGGTACCCTCCTTATCTTCTATGTTAAGCTAGTTTGAAATTGATTGTATGAGAATGTGAACTCGTTTATCTTTGCATGTATCGAGGCTATGATTTCATATTATGCTTGTGTTGATACTTGTGATTTTCGTTGCCTTACATGTACATGTATTGCATGGATGTTTATGTTTCCATTGTAGGAGGAAAATCAATGCAATCAAGAAGCTTGGGGATCAAGTTGAAATTAATCAATCCCTCTTAATTGATTGATTACGCAATCATAGCTCAAACTCCACAAATCAAGCATCGCCAAATATGGAAGAATGAGTTGTCTACAACTCATACCCAGATCACCCTTGCTCATCATCTGTGATTATAAAAGGAGCCGCATAATCACAACTCGAAGGCAATTTTGTGAGAAAGTGGTAAAGGGCTTCTAAACAAAAGGTTTTTAGCAAAGAGGAAGAGGTTCTTTGCTAGTTGCTGATACAAATTTTGGAGTTTGGAATTTGGGTTGTTTCTTCATCATTATGTTTTACTTAGTATTTTCTTTCTTAAAGTTTAATTTCAAGTTGTCATTTGTACATGTAAGTTAGATCATCAAGAAAATAAAAAATAGAATCATAGGGGTGGACGTAGCCCATTGCACCGGGGTGAACCACGTTAAAAATATCGTTTGTTCTTTCGATTTATGCAATTTCCTTCTCATACTCTACTCTTCACACAAATACTCTATTTTCTAAGGACACTGGTCCAAGGAAGAAGACGAGCTGAAGTATTCTTCCTTCTCGGTTATTTTGGCTGGGCCTGAAAGTCCCTAAGCTCATCTCCCCTTTTGGTTTTCTTCACTTAGTTCTTGTGTGGGCTTTGTGAAGTTGCGGGCCTACACTAAGGGGGAGAATACGAACAAAAGGGTTGAAGGACTTCTCCTTCATTTCGTTCTTCTTCTTTCTTCTCTTCTTGTACTCGCAATCCCTAGACCCTTCTCTTTAATTTCAATTGGTATCGGAGCCAATCCCTTGATTGAGCTACATACTACCAAGGGAATTGATCATTGGATCGTCTGTCGTTGGTCATGCATCATACAATCACCCACCTTTGTTCACAGGAACAAATTATACCTCCTGTAAGCGACGAATGGAAACTTTCCTCTGGGGAGTCGATGAAGCTCTCTGGACAGTGATCATTGATGGTCCTATCACAATGGATTTTTCCCAACGATCAACCTGGAATGACGCCCAGAAAAAGAGTGCACAACTCAACAAAAGAGCTATGCACATCTTCCACTCTGCCATGGCGGCGACCGAGGCAGACAAGATCGAGCACTGCGACACTGCTCACGAGATCTAGACTGTGCTTGACAAGACGTACGAGGGAACCTCAAATATCAAGGAACACGGATCGATCTCCTGATGCACGAATACGAAACATTTGTCATGACCCAGGTGAGGACATCCAGTCCATGTATTCTCGCTTTACTATCATCCTAAACAAATTAGAAGGTTTAGGAAAAACTTTCGTGAGTAAGGATATAAATGGAAAGATCCTTCGTTCATTTTCTAAGGAATGGTTACCTAAAAGAAATGCAGTAGAAGAGGCTCAAAATCTGAATACCTTACGAGTTGATGAATTAATTGATTCCTTATTAAGCAATAAGCACGTTGTCAGGCAAGTTCATGGTGAAGATAAGTGCCAGAAGAGTCTAGCATTTCGAACTAGAGTCTACCAAGATGAATCTGAGGATGATTCACCTCTTGATCTTGATAGGGAAATTGATTTTCTTAGTAAGCATTTTCAACGTATGATTAAACATAAGAATGAGCAAAAATGGTTTAGTAACACCTCTGGAAAATTCAACACTCATGATAGAACTCACTCTAATTTCAAAGATAGGTTGCCCTATAGGCAGACCAGAGATGTGGATGCAGGTACTTCAAATAAGGAACCTCAAGGCTGCTATAAGTGTGGGTAACCAGGGCATATTCATGCTCATTGTCCTCTCGCCCTCAAAGCCAAAGAGAAAGTCATGATGGCTTCTTGGAGTGACTATGATTCCGAGTCAGATGATGATCAGGTAGACGAGGAAGCATTCATGGCCTACGCCATGAATATAGAAGGTAATTCTACTCACTCTACAGCTTGAACTTGCCTTCAAAATAGCCACATTTGACTCACACATGGATGAAGAGCACCATTTTTATATGGAAAATGGCTGCTCCCGTCACATGAATGGTACAAAACATTTATTTACCTCACTCTCTCCTCAGAATGGTGGTAAAGTCATCTTTGGTGATGATAGTTCTGGAAACATTATTGGTAGTGGTACTATAGGATGAGAACCTTTTCATGTCAGTCGTAATGTTTTGCTGGTCGAGGGTCCAAAACATAACTTACTCAACATTAGTCAATTGTGTAGAAACGGCTATAAAGTGGTTTTTGAAGCTTCTCGTTGCATGGTTGAAAGCCCACAAGATCACAAAATCCTATTTGTTGGCAAACGTCAAAATAATATGTATGTTAAAATTTCCATACACATTAAACGATCTTTCAAACCCAATTCTGGCATTACAACCTCCTCTGTTTTCGAACTAATTCATATGGATCTCTTTGGTCCATGTAATGTTTCCAGTCTAGGTAGTTAGAATTATGCATTTGTCCTAGCTGATGACTTTTCTAGATACACTTGGGTCTATTTTCTTGCACATAAAAGTGAAGCCTTTTTGAATTTTTAATTGTTTATGCTTTGTTTGGGAAGAAGGGGAAGTGTGGGGGGGGGGGGGTAAGAAGCCGGGGTAAGTGGAAAAATCGAGGTAAATGCCCTCGTTTGGATAATTTGATACAGTGGCAGGTAAATGCACCCCAAATTGAGGCGTAACATTGAAGGAGGAAGAAAGAAAACAGGTGGTGAGGCCAGGGAAGGAAAGGAACGTTGGTGTGGGGAGAGAGAAGGGGTGGTGGGGCGAGGGAAGAGAGGGATTGGTGGGGTTGGGTTTAATTTTTATTATTATAAAACTTATATTTTATATCTCGATTTGCACCCTACTATTTTTTTTATCCAGACAACAATTTGTACCTCAGTTTGCACCCCCTTAAACTTGCTCCCCCTACCATTTACAACTCAATTTGTACCCCGCCCCCTTTTTAATTTGCACCCCCCTTGTTGCCAAATGGAGCGTTACTTTTACCTTCGATATAAAATCCTAACTATTAAAAGCGACATTGGTGGCGAATTCATCTCTGATGAGTTTGAGAGGTTGTGTGATTTCTTAGGAATAAATCAAACCTTCTCTGCCCCTCGTACACCCTAGCAAAATGGGGTTGTGTAAAGAAAGAATCGGACCCTGATTGAATATGCTAGGACTTTGCTACTTGAGTATGGTTTACCTAAATATTTTTGGGCTGAGGCAGTTAGCACAACTTGCTATATAGGAAATCGAGTTTTCATTCGAAAACATCTAAAAAGTACACCCTATGAACTCTTTAAAGAAAGGAAACCTAGTATTTCCTATTTCCATCCTTTTGGGTGTAGATGCTACTGCCTAAATACCAAGGACCAATTAAGCAAATTTGATGCCAAGTCCGATGTAGGTGTTTTCCTAGAATACTCTATCAAAGGTCAAGCCTTTAGGGTCTTTAACAAAAGAACCCAACGAGTTGAGTAAACTATGCACGTAGTGTTTGATGAATAATTCAGTCCTACAACCTGGAGATCAAGATGTAGAGGTATTTGATTTTGCAGAGATGACACACTCTCCAAACGAGTCGACTCCTGACATAGACAATCACCTGATCACTCCCGAAACAGCTACGACACCTGAGGTAGCAAAGAATCAGGAAAATACTGCACCCGTCTCCACAACTGCAATTATCCCTGGCTTGGCCGACCTTCATGAAGTTGACTTGGGTTGACCAGAATTCGGAACTTAAAACCTGATTCCATAAGATACTCCAACAACACAAGACATTCAGAAGCGACATCCTTCTACTTAGATCATCGGTAACATTAATGATGGACGTCGTACTCGAGGTAAGTATATCCCTGTCCAATATGCTTTTGTGTCCCAATTTGAGCCTAAAAACTTTAAGGAAGCTATTAAAGATGAAGAATGGTCTTTCTTTATGGTTGAGAAACTAGCCCAATTTGAACATTTTCATGTGTGGGATCTAGTTCCTAGGCCTATAGACCATCCTGTCATTGGAACCAAATGGGTTTATCGTAACAAATCAAATGAAGAGGGATTTAAAACCCGTAAAAAATCTAGACTAGTGGCTAAAGGTTATTCACAAGAAGAGGGAATTGACTATGATGAAACATTTGCTCCTGTTGCTAGGATAGAATCCATTCGATTGCTTTGTGCCTTTGCGTGCTATATGAATTTTCCTCTCTATCAAATGGACATCAAAAGTGATTTCTTGAATGACATTATTCAAGAAGATGTTTATGTAGAGAAACCCCCAGGATTCGTTAATCCCGAATTCCTTGATCATGTTTTTAAACATAGAAAAGCTCTTTATGGTCTCAAACAAGCTCCTCGGGCTTGGTATGATCGTCTTACATCTTTTCTACAAGATCAAAAGTTTAATCAAGGCTCAGTTGAAAAAACTCAGTTTACAAAACGAACATCAAGTGATCTAATTTTAGTTCAAATATATGTTGATGATATTGTTTTTGGCTCCACAAGTCAATCAATGTGCACTGAATTCTGTGACTCAATGAAAACTGTTTTCGAAATGAGCATGATGGGTGAATTGAAATTCTTTCTTGGTCTTCAAATCCAACAAACTAAACATGGAAAATTCACCAACCATTCTAAATACATCTCCAACATGCTCACAAAATTTAATATGACAAAGCTAAATATCAGTGCTACTCCCATGGCCACAAATCTTAAACTTGAGAAAGACGAAACCAGTGTGGCCGTAGATGAATCAAAATATAGAGGCATGATAGGGTATCTTCTCTATCTTACTTTTAGTCCCCCTGATATACAATATAATGTTTGTCTCTGTGTTAGATTTCAATCTCAACCCGAGGAAAGTCATAAGGGAGCAGTTAAACGAATTTTTCTTTATCTAAAAGGTACTATTGATGTAGGATTATGGTATTCTAAGCAAAACCATTTTGATATCCTATGGTATAGTGATTCAAACTTCGCAGGAAGTCTTACCGATAGGAAGAGCACATGTACTCAGCTTCCCTTGATTAAAATTCAGTTCTGGATTACTGTCATAAACTTGCATCTATTCAAATGTTTTGTGACAATACTAGTGCAATCTGCATGACTAAAAATCATTTCCAACATTCTCGCACCAAGCATAAAGAAATTAATTATCATTTTATACGTGAATTAGTTCAGGCTGGCACAATTAACATTCAACATATTACCACAGAATTTCAAATAGCTGATTTGTTAACAAAACCCCTTTCGGTTGATCGATTTACCTTTCTGTGTTATGAGATTGGGCTTCAATCTAGCTCAATCTTAGGAGAATAATTGATGGTGTTCTTTCTTTGTGAGTTGTATATATTTTGTTTCCTTTTCTATTCGTTCAACTTCCTTCCTTTCTTGGTTATTATTTATGTTGCTTTGTTTCCTTGTTAGCTTTTCTTTTAGTTGATTTTAAGTTCTTTTCTTACCTTTCCCGCCATCACTTACGTTCTTTCCACACTTCTCACCTTGTTATAAAAACCCAATCACTACCATCTCCTCTCTTCATTCGCACAACTGTCTCTATCCAGGCTCTGTCCATAATGTCCTCCACTCTAATCATAACCCAAACCGCCACCTTCTTTTTCGAATCCAACCTACCAAATCTCCACCGCCATGCTGTTCACTTCCAAAATCGCGAGGATTGGGGTGATGCCATCCATGACTATGTCACCAACCTTGGGTAGTACTATCTCTTTCTCAACGTCAACCAAACTCATGTGTTATATGAGGATGCTATTCGGTACTTCTACTCCAATCTTCGCTCCTCGGGTATTGAATCTTGTAGATTTACCTCCTTAGTTTGGTACTATGTTCACCTGCCATGTCAATGATTTTGGATATGTTCTCGAGTTTCCAACCTATGGTCCCACAGCTTGTGATGTACATGAACTTCTGTCGCTCGGATTTCAAGTTCATAATGAATTCGAACGTCTTACGGGTCAAACCACTGTCCTTCCCATATCTGATCATGTTCTAGACCTTCATCCCCGCCTCAGAATTTTTCACTATATTCTCACCCACTGCTCCTCCCACGTGATGCTGATCTTGATCGCATACTCCCCATCGACGCATGGATTCTAGCTCATGCGGTCGACGACATGCCTCTTAGCTATCCCCATCTCTTATTTGGCGCATTTCTTCCATACCATGATCTCGATCTTCGAGGTTCTCTTCCTCTTTACAATATTATCTTCCGCTTCCTGGAAAGGCTGGGTATCTGCCTCACTGCTCTTGTCACAATTACACCAGTAACAGTCATTCCGGCTAATGATGTTGTTCGCGAGATGAATCTTGCGATTAAGGGGGGGGGATAGTTTTTGAAGCTGCATATCTCTCTGACTCTGATGAAGATGATGACGAGGAATCTCTTCATAATGGGGATGAAGGCCAAGGTAGCACTATCACTCAAGAAGACTTCAGAGCCAATAATCTCTAGGATCAGTTTGAAAACCCATCTTTTCGCTTACAAGCTTTTGGACTTTTGGCATTCTGTCTTTGTGCACCTTATGTCTTTAACATTACGTGTTGAGTATGAGACATTGTCTGCACTTGAACTGCTTGATTGTTTTGATTAGATGAAATTGGTGGTTGCTCTTATTAAGCTATATTTTTAGGATGGAATTATGCTTGCCTTTTTGTTTGTCGTAAGTGTTGATATGCTGGTATACCATTCAAATCGCAATATCAAATTTAGGGGGAGATTGTTGGAGGAAAATCAATATTGCTTGGCAATCAAGAAGCTTGGGGATCAAGTTGAAATCAATTGATCTCTCTTGATTGATTGATTGATTGATTGATTACACAATCATAGTTCAAACTCCATAAATCAAGCATCGCCAATATGGAAGAATGAGTTGCCTGCAACTCATACTCAGATCACCCTTGATCATCATCGTCGATTATAAAAGGAGACGCATAATCACAACTCAAAGGTAACTTTGTGAGAGAGCGTTAAAGGGCTTCTAAATAAAGGGTTTTTCGCAAAGAGGAAGAGGTTCTTTGCTAGTGGCTGATACAAGTTCTGGAGTTTGGAATTTGGGTTGTTTCTTCATCATTCTGTTTTACTTCTAGTATTTTCTTTCTTAAAGTTTCATTTCAAGTTGTAATTTGTAAGGGTCTAGGGTCTTCGGTATGATAGCATACACATTTAACACACAAATTCCAAACTCCGGAATTTGTATCAGCCACTAGCAAAGAACCTCTCCCTCTTTGCTAAAACCCTTTGTTTAGAAGCCCTTTACCACTCTCTCACAAAGTTGCCTTCAAGTTGTGATTATGCGATTCCTTTTATAATCGCCGATGATGATCAAGGGTGATCTGGGTATGAGTTTTAGACAACTCATTCTTCCATATTTGGCGATGCTTAATTTGTGGAGTTTGAGCTATGATTGTGTAATCAATCAATCAAAAGAGATTCATTGATTTCAACTTGATCCCCAGGCTTCTTGATTTCCAATCAATATTGATTTTCCTCCAAAAATCTCCCCCTAAATTTGATATTGCAATTTGAATGGTATACCTGCATATCAACACTTACAACAAACAAATAGGCAAGCATAATTCCATCCTAAACAATATAGCTTAATAAAAGCAACCACCAATTTCATCTAACCAAAACAATCAAGCAGTTCATGACCAGACAGTGCCTCACACTCAGCATGTAATGTTCAAGACATAAGGTGCACAAATACAGAATGCCAAAAAGTCCAAAAGCTTGCAAGCAAAAATATGGGTTTTCAAACTGATCCTAGAGATTGTTGCCCCTGAGGTCTTCTTGAGTGACAATGCCACCTTGGCCATCATCCGCATTATGAACATATTCCTCATCATCGTTTTCATCAGAGTCAGAGAGATATGCAACTTCAAAGACTATCCCCCCTCAATTGCAAGATCCATCTCGCGAACAACTTCGTCAGCTGGAATGAATGTGACTAGCGTAATTGTGACAAGAGCAGTGAGGCGAATAGCCAGCCTTTCCAGGAAGCAGAAGATAATATTGCCAAGAGGAAGAGGACCTTGAAGATCGGGATCACGATATGGAATAAATGCACCAAATAAGATATGGTGATAGCTAAAAGGCATGTCATCGTCCGCATAAGCTAGAATCCATACATCGAGGGGGAGTATGCAATCAAGATTAGCATCACGCGAGAGGAGGCAGTGGGTAAGAATATAGTAAAAAATTCGGAGGCGGGGAGGAAGGTTAAGAACATGATCAAATATGCGAAGGACAGTGGTTTGACCCGTAAGACGTCTGATTTCATTATGAACTTGAAATCCGAGTGACAGAAGTTTAGGTTCATCACAAGTAGTGGGACCATAGGTTGGAAACTCTAGAACACGTTCAAAATCATTGACATGGCAGGTGAACATAGTACCAAAAACTAAGGAGGTAAAGCTACAAGATTCAATACCCGAGGAGCGAAGATTGGAATAGAAGTACCAAATAGCATCCTCACATAATACATGAGTTTGGTTGACGTTGAGGAAGAGAAAGTCCCACTCAAGCTTGGTGACATAGTCACAGATGGCATCACCCCAATCTTCGATGGGTAGCAACGTAAAGGTGTAATCTCGCGATTTTGGAAGTGAACAGCATGGCGGTGGAGATTTGGTAGGTTAGGTTCAACAAAGAAGGTGGTGGTTTGGGTTACGATCAGTGTAGAGTACATTGTGGACATGGCCTGGATAGGGACAGTAGTGCGAATGAAGAGAGGAGACGGTAGTGATGGGGTTTTTATAACAAGGTGAGAAGTGTGGAAAGAAGCTAAGTACTGGCGGGAAAGGTAAGAAAAGAACTAAAAATCAACTAAAAGAAAAGCTAACAAGGAAACAGATTAATATAAATAATAACCAAGAAAGGAAGGAAGTTGAACGAACAGAAAAGGAAACAAAATATATACAACTCACAAAGAAAGAAAGCCATCAATTAGTCTCCTAAGATTGAGCTAGATCGAAGCCCAATCTCATAAAACAGGAAGGTAAATCGATCAACCGAAAGGGGTTTTGTAAACAAATCAACTAATTGAAATTCAGAATTCTGTGGTAATGTGTTGAATGTTAATTGTGCCAGCCTGAACTAATTCACGTATAAAATGATACTTAATTTCTATATGCTTGGTGCGAGAATGTTGGACAGGAATTTAGTCTTGCAGAATGCACTATTATTGTCACCAAACATTAGAATAGATGCAAGTTTATGATTATAATCCAGAAGCTGACTTTTAAGCCAGCAAACAAGTTGAGTACATGTGCTACTGGCAACTATATACTCAGCCTCGGCAGTTGATAAAGCTACGACTCCATGTTTTTTACAAGACCATGATACTAATGAACTTCCAACGAATTGGAAAGTACCAGTTGTGCTTTTCCTATCGGTAAGACTTCGTGCGAAGTTTGAATCACTATATCCAAGAAGATCAAAATGGTTTTGCTTAGAATACCATAATTCTACATTAATCCTACCTTTTAGATAAAGAAAAATTCATTTAACAGCTGCCATATGACTTTCCTTGGGTTG